TCAGACACTTTTGCAAAGGCAGCTGAAGTTGATGGCCTAGGTGAAATAGGTCTTAATCCAGACACTTTGACAGATACACTTTTCCAGACTTTGAAAAGCTCTGTCTTCTTAATGTCACCATTCCATTCTCCAAAACTGCAGCTTTCAAATTCTTCATAAGCCTCAGTACTCATTTCTTGTCAAAGAACCTCCAAAAACACCTTTAATTTTGTTTGTCCAGCTTCCACAGATATATTTTCCGGTGTGAGCTCAATCCCCTTTTTTTATTTTTACCTTCGTTGGGTCACTGTAAAAGACCACAAGCTCGGAATCCACTCTGAATTGTTGCACATGTCAAATTGTGGAGTACCTTTTGTAGGACTACTGGGAAGTCCTGCTTTTGGATTTGTCTGCCTTCGTTGGCCATTCTCCACTCTGCTGCCTTTTGCCTCCAAGTTTGTTTCAGAGTATGAAAGACTGCAACGTCCATTGGCTGAAGGAGGTGTGTTGCATTGGGGAACAGGGCGACCAGCTCGATTTATTTTTTCTTGCAGAATTCGGAGAGGGTGTAAGATGAGTCGGATGTATGGCCGTCAAGGAAAAAAACAACTGGTCTCGGAATTTGATTCTTCGTCAGCCACGGCTCGAATATGTTGGCTATATACTCGTAAAATGTTTCTTGAGTCATCCAGCCATTTTCTGATTTGTCAATACCCCAAGAACTTGGCGTGGCTTTTGCAATAGATAGAGGCATATCGATATACTATCATTGGTGGAGCAAGGTCACCAGCTGCATTAGCCGTTAAAAGAACTGTAAGGTTCAATTTTTCATCGGCACCAATCCCCGTGTAGACTGTCTTAGAACCTTTCTCTGCCAGAACTTTTCCAGGCTTTGGTTTTAGAAAAAAAGCTGTCTCATCCGCGTTGAAGACTCTCCGAGGGTCATCCAGAAGTCCTTGTATATTATTTTCAACGAGGTACGTCCATACATCGTTAAACCAATCATTTATATCTTCCTGTGTCAGTGCCTCTTTGATAGAAGTCAAGTTCTGGCTGGTGCGGAGGGCAATGTCAGGGTGACGTCGAAGAAAACCCTCTTACCACTTTCTCTTTGGAGTGAACGTTTCACCTCTGTAAGATAGCTTTAAATTTCTGGCTAGTTTAGTGACGCTATACATTAGAGTCTCTTTGCTCACAGGAAATCCAGACCTCGCCATGGTTTTTATCCAGTTCACCAAAATATCTTCATGTTCAGCATCAAAGACAGTTGAAGGTCCTTTTTGGGTCCTCAAAGACTCCGTTCTTAGACTTGCTATCCCATATTTCTTCGCTGCGGCTCTCAGACTGAGCCCTCCCTCAATCGCTTTTAAAGCCTCTTTAATAACACACACACACACACACACACACACACACACACACACACACACACACACACACATGTAATCTGTATTAAACGATGAATTGGCAAACTATTTCTAAGTTATACTGTCGCCAAATCATTTGAGCACTGCAGAAAATGGTCTGCTCTGTACTGTACAATACATTGCAAAATATATGAATCGCTTTCTCCTCATGAGAGAAACACGACCGTTGATTTGGCAGGAAATTTAAGTCATTTTCTAAAGTAGGACACCTGTCTCAGTTCTGGAGCATTCTGCTATTTAATAATCTAATAGCGGGACACCCCATTATCTCTATGAAATCGTATATATTTCCTGTATATCAAGACAAATATCTAACACATGCCTTACTACCTCTGATTGGAATACAACATAACGAAAAAATAACTTAAAATAAATAGGAGAAAAAATATTAAAATTGTACTTACTCCTTATCCATTTCATAAGAATTGGTGAACAACACTTCCACAAAATGTGAAACGCAAAATAAACACAACACAGTTTGATGGTATACAAGCTACTGACCGTTGCGCACATTTCAGGTAGTCACTAAGGATTTTAAGTAACTGCCCCTTCTTTTTTATTTTCAAGGTTAGGAGAAGGAGGTGCTTTGTTTTTTAGGTTCTCTTTTTAGTGTCCCACTACTGGTACGTGTCCCACTACTGGTACGTGTCCCACTATAGGAACTCTTACCTCATACACATTGCCAAAATTCTTGGACCCCCTCGTAAATGTTAAAACGAAATATTTATCATGGCTGCTTTTTTGTGCATTTAATTTTTATTTATTTCACCGTTGATACGCATCTAAAAATGTTTACAAAAACAATTTCCCACAATTTTAGGTACCAATGTTTAAAAAGTGGTTCATATCGATTTTGCATGTTTAAGTGATTGTTGAATTTTTCTTTGCAACTATGCCTGTCAATAGAATTGCAGTGTTCAATAGAGCAAGAATAGTGGCTTTGCATGATGAGGGTCGCCGAATCATCGAATCGCAGATAGACTAGGGATTCCCGCGCTTCAGTTATCCAAATAGTGCGTTTGTACCAGGAAACTAACAGCGTTGACTGAAGACGTGGGACTGGGCGTCCTAGGGTAACTAATCCAAGAGAAGATCGGTATGTAGCAGGTTATGTACATCAGAATCGAACCGTAACAGTCTCAGCTGTGCTAACTCATTTTAGAAGAACATATGGTCGATTCATTTCCAGTACCACAATACGGCGGAGACTTGCTGGAACCAATTTACCATCTAGGAGCCCATTAAGAGTACCCAGGTTACTTCCCAGACATATAGCTTCTTGTTTACAGTGGGCACAGGAACACAGAGACTGGCTTTTAGCTCAGTTGCGAAATGTTCTTTTTTCGGACGAAACCAGATATGGTTTAATTAGTGATAGTCGGCGACACGGAGTTTGGAGAGGGCCAGGGCGACCAGAAAGACTATCTTTTGCCAGAGAAGTCGTTCCATACCAAGAAGGAACAGTAATGTTTTGGGGAGGCATAATGCATGGTCGTCGTATGCAGCTTATTCCCATTCCAGACACTATGACAGCTGAGACAATTGGAGTCAATTTTATTTTCATGGATGGCAATGCTAGGCCCCATCGCACGAGAAGGGTACAAAATGCACTAGAAATTTAGAATATTCAAAGATTACCGTGGCCAGCACATTCGCCAGATATGAATCCCATTGAGCACATGTGGAATTTCGTTGGAAGAGCAATCTCAAATAGAATTAATCCTCCTATCACCCTCCAAGAACTCACAGTCACGGCCCAAGAAGAATGGAACAACATCCCAATGGATTACATTAAAACTCTTACAGCCGTATGCATAGTCGATCGCCAGCGACTCGCCAGAGTTTCATTCCGGCGTTTCGCCAGCGATTCGCTGGCGATCCGCCGGCGAAAGCCCAAAAAGGTGGCGTCTCGCCGGAGATTGTCACCGAAATGTCATTTCACGCAAGTTTTTATTTTCTTTTATAGGGATTATCACCGGTATCTCTCGCATTTTATTCATGATTCATTTCTTAAAACTCAAAAAATAATGAACGGATATCAAATTTTTCCCTATAAAAGAACATGAAAACTTGCGTGAAATGACATTCCGGTGACAATCTCCGGCGAGTCGCCAGGTTTTTAGGCTTTCGCCGGCGGATCGCCAGCGAATCGCTGGCGAGTCGCTGGTGATCGACTATGCATACGGCTGTTATTGTTTCCATGCACATGCGAGTTAATACCTTACTACCGAATATTAATGAATTTTTGATTTCGCTCTAAAGTGGTTTTCTTCTGGATTCCAAATTCTAGTAATTATTTTATTATGCCCTATTTTTCGTTTGTATTTTTTGTATTTTTTCTTTTTCAGTTAAAATTTAATTCAGCCAATTTGTATTGGATACATAACCAAATTAAAAGTACTATGTAACACACTTCTTAACTTTTAATAATAGTGTCTCATTTTGACAAACATAAGGGGGTCCAAGAATTTTGCTGATGTGTGTATTTAAGGCATCAAAACCTTCTTTGTTTGAGCAATAGATATCGAAACATCAAACATGATCTTTATGAATGATGCCATTTTGGGCCCATTGTAAAATATAAACCATAATACAGATATTTGATAGGTATATAGTTCAGGATCCGTAAGTAAGGTCGACCTTCACCCATCTGTTTAATGAATAAAAGTGTTTTTTTTTTTATTAAATAAAATATGTTTTTAAATATACCTAAGAAAATACGGTCACGGCCATTTTTTACTTTTTTCTGAGTACAGATAAGGAAAGCATAGGAATCATGATAAAAGTTGCTTATGATGTCATTCTCTATTATTTTGTCCCTATTCATGATTTCCCTAAAATTGACCTAATTCGAGATATTTAAGGAAAAGTAACATATTTTATTTAAAAATAAACTTTCATCCATTAAACAAATGGGTGAAGGTCGACCTTACTTCGGATCTTATACCAATAGGATTGATTGAAAATGTCCACAAATGTGGACACGGTGACTGAACAGGTTAATTGTGCACAGTAGCTTTTAGCATTCACTAGACGTTGGTTAATTTTGTTAAAAAAAAACTATTATCTTCTATTTTCTATTATCTTTCCACCTCAATGTCAACATTTTCACTGTAATTATGGATGAAACTTTAATAATTACTACTAAAAAGTGTTGTAAACTCGATCCTTTGACAACATATTGTTTGGTGATAATGCTGAAATGATTAAATTAAAATTTTGTAAGCAAGGAAAGGCTCCCTTATCATTAATTATCTACTGTTTATAACACTAAATTAGAAATAATGAATCACAAAAACCTATTAAAATCGACTATTTATTATTTAAAAATGTGTCTTGCTTTAAAAATATAAATTTATGTTCAATTTTGTTAAACTGAAATCTGTATATATGTATATTATTGCAAAATTTTATCAATTTACAAATAAAGGTGTAGAAATTGCCCACAATCTGTATCATAAGTGCTGTTATCTCAACAGCAGATAACGATTTGTGAGAAAACGGTGGTTTTGTTGACGTCAATTTTTGAATTTTAAGTTTTTATTTTGTTATGTATCTATATTAGAATAATAACAAAAGTTAATTTTTATTTTTCAGGAGGAATAAACTTGTTTTGTGTCAAACAGTATGAACGAACTGGATTCTCTCAGGCAAGAAGCTGAAACCCTTAAAAATGCAATTAGAGTAAGTGAACAAATTTTTTTTATTTAGTATTTTTAACTCATTTTATCGTTTCACGAAAGAACCCACCTGAAGTTGCAGTCGTACTCGAGAACGTGTCGCCATATTACAAATTTGATGTTTGACTTCAAATCAGTAGCGTAACCATTTCAAATTTAATTCTTAAATAAATATAAATATGAAAATAGTGTTGTCATTTTCACCAGTTTTAATGCAATAAATGTGGAAATAAAAAATTCATTATATATAAATATGTAATATAGAAAGTAGTGATCACTTTTATGGGTTTTTATGGCATAAATCATTCAAATGGTCAATAAATAAGCTATTGAATTAGCGGGTGGAAATTGAAGTTAGGGGTACAAATGCAACCCTTAGAGTTTTTTAATTATATCTCGGAAACCAAGCAAAATGCAGGTATAGTTAATACGAAATTTTTTAAGTGAAAAATTATAAGAAAAAAGAATTAAATAGCAAAAGATCAATTTTTTTTTACTTTTTTGCGAATAATTGCTTTCTGAGCAAAGCAAAATTCATGCAGTTAATATAATTTTTTTTGTAAATAATACGATTATTTCACATCAAATTATTTATTTAAATTTTTTATGTAAAAAATATAAAAAAAGAATTTATTACGCAAAAAATTCATTTTTTTTTTACTTTTTTACTTATAATTTCTTTCTGAGAAGAGGTAGGTGCAGGCATTGCTTTACACAACAAAAAATAAATTAAATTTCCTTTAAAATCTTGGATTTTAAACGTTTTTTGGATAAAAATGGACTAGCTAAGATATTGACCTCTTAGGACATAATAGCCTATTCTTCAAGCCCTAAATATATCGTTTAGGTAAAAAAAATGTAAAAAGAAAAACACAAAATAGGAACTTATAAAATTTTTTATTTTAATTCAGGAATGCTTGAAAAATATTGGTAGCATATTGATTAAATGGTTTACTCAAATTACTGGCAAAATCATTGAAAAGTTGGAACTCAAATGCCATAATATGCAACTTTAGTATTAACTTTTAAATTTTGAAAAACTGGGAAAAATATATAAATTTTTAAACATTTCACATCTAAAAACTTTAACTAAATCTGCAGCATACAATAGTAGTTAAACGATAAGTGTAAGAACAATGAATACAAAATAGCTTAGTGATAATAAATGTTTGTTATATTTCTTATTCAATTAACTGCTAGTTGCACTAGTGTGAAATATTTTTCAAAATTTTATACTTTTTACCCTTACTTCAAAAATTCAGACTTGTTTAAGTCCCATTTATAGTTAAACAAATTGATGAAATTGATGTTAGTTAAAAAAATCACCATGCGTTACCGTTTTCGATTATGGTGGGTGGGGTTTTCCTCACCTGTAAGTTAAATGGCACCATCAATCATCTTTAAGTCGCCCCGGAGCGCCACGGCAAATAATAATAGTGGTCCCTTTCCCCGGACAAGCTCAGCTTTTGGGATTAAAATTCACTCATAAGGGGGTGAATTAGGGAGAGTATTATTATTATTACTTATTGGAATAGTATATTATGAAGACATTTAACATTTTTTATTTACTTTAGTGATATATCGATTTTAAAATCATCAGTTTGAGTCATATCACAAAATTTGAAATATGTTTGCCTAGAATCTAGGTAGTGTGACAGGCTTGTGGTTCACCTACAGTGAATCAGCGAGTCTGTGTGGCGCTATGAAGGTGATTCCCGAATAGGGGTTGCTCAGGCGCCAGTTTTGGTATCGCAGTTTGCTCTGCGACCCTGTGGTACACCAGAGTGTACTCAAGGTGAACTCAGTGGAGGTAAATAATTCCAGGCGGTCACTGCTAGGTAGCCACTATACTAGAACAAATAAAAATAAAACACTTATCTCCTTTACACCTCGTACCCTACGGTACCCTGAAAGAGAACGGTTAAGAACCAGTAATAAGAGAAACACAGGAATAGGTAATAAAATATATATTTACAAAAAAATAATACAACGGTAATTAAATATGAACGGCTCCCTATATGCGGCAAACTTATCAAAAATAAATTATTACCAATGAAAACTAATTAAATATTAACAGTTTAAAGTCTCTCTCATGTAGACATCTGGTAGTCCATAGCTTCTACAAGAGAGAAACCCTTTCCACGAGCTGTTATGAAGACTAGGGGCTGAAACAGCTGTGATTATCGACGGGGGGAAGCAAGCGAATACCGCTATCACCCCCTGATTAACGCGAAAATGAATGAAGGGTGCGAGTGCCCCCGGATTTAAATCCGATTTACTTTATTACCTTGTTAGGTACTAAGGAAATTCAAAGTTCGTATTACCTTTTACTAGTACGGGAAAATATTTACGGTTCGCTAGCACAGGAGGCCAAGCGGTCCGGGAATTATAAAACTCCCTATATACGGAAAATTTATTAAAAATAAATTAATACACTCGAAGACAATTTAAATATGACGGTTATCAAATGCAAGCAAATAAATGAAATCAAAGTTTTCGGAACGTCCCTCTATCTTAGACCAGACGGATCGACGCTCTGGCAATTGAACGAGAATGATAATTTTCAGCGCGGTGTTTGGGACAAAAATGCGATGGTTAACGTAAAAATTATTTTGAGAGAGCGTGTGTGAATTTAATTTTACAGAAGTCGTCTGGCTTCATTCAATAAAAAATTATTTCGCTTGTCGGACGGGTGTCCCAAACTAATTGTAAATAAAAAAATAATAAGCGGTTTCCTACCTTCAGAAAGATAAACGGGGTTGTTCAATATTCTTTCGATATTACGGTCACTCACGGAGTATTTGCTAGGCACTATCGAAGGGCGAATAGTTTTCGGCTGTCGGCAATCAAGAGCGTCGAAGGGCTTATGGCGGCCGGCAAGCAAGAGGGCGTAATTCCCAGATGTCATTGAATTTATGCTTTTCGGTAAAGCCGAGTGGGGATACCACTACTACAGCCGACTGTTTACAATTTAAAAATAAAAAAAAATGTCCTTCTAGTACCTTGACAAATAAAGGTAGATAGTCGGTACGAAATCGACTCTACAAAATGCCCATTCGGATTTCGGCAAATATAGGAATATTTTAATCTACGAGGGTACTCGCAATTGTTGAAAAACGGTAATTCCTGGGAAACATAAATACGGGGGAACTTCTACATGTTCTCAGGCGGGAATTAATTGAAATATACATTTTTAAAATTAATTGAGAGCAAAATTTAGTGACTTATGTTGCAAAAAATATTTCTTGTAGGCCTGTATTATTAATCGCTTTCAGAGTCACTAAGCAATTCTATAATACTCCTACTGATGTCTGTCACTGCTGCAATCATCCTCTGAAGTAGATTCAACAGACGATCCTGTATTTACAGTAAACACAAGAGAATCTACAGCATTATCCAGAATGCGTTCCTTTTTAATCCATTCAGATTCGCATTTCTTTACATTTTCGCAAATAGAACACTATTCTTGATCAGAAACTGCAGAACATTTCTTCCTGGCTAATTTCTCCACATCATCCAGTTTAAATGTGGTATTGTGCACTGCCACCCAGTTCTTAACCAGGGCCCAGATTTTTCTATTGGGTTGAATTCTGGATGATAAGGTGGTATCGATAAGACTTTATTTCGATGTTCTTTCAGTAAACAGTCCAATTTATAGGAAACAGGAATACCTAACTGATTTTTTTTATTAATTCATAAAGCGGGTTTTGTCTTATTGGCATCATGTTCAACTTTGTGGGCCCTACGCCATTCTAACATTTCTGCTTTCCTAGATGCTGAAATAATACTTTTTTCAGTTTTCACTTGTGGTAAAAAGTATTATCTACAACCAGAACTGATTTCTCAGGCATATTGGGCAATAATTGTTCCTGAACCAACTTTATAAAGTTTGAATAATTCATGTCATCATGGTAGTCTTCACTTTTAGAACCTAAAAAAATTAGAAAAAATTTAATCTAGACCCACACAAAAATTTTCTATTTTGTAAACAAATTACATAATAATGAAACATTCAGTACACATATGAACTGAAGGATTGAATATTATATTTGAATGTAATTTAATACAAAATAATAGCAGTGCAACATGTTATATTAAGCCATTGTAAATTGTGTTGCCTAATTTGACTGTTAGAATGATCTTTTATTATACATTGTTTTAAAATCAATGAAAAAAACCATAAATAACAATAGTATAATTTTAAAAAATTTATCTAAAAATCAGTACATGTTTTTCGTTCTAGCCCAACATTTTTATGAACGCTAATGAGCCAAGTTATTCGTTTTTCCACATATTTGGGACAATCGATACTTAAAAAATAACACTTTTCAATATATGTAGAGACATACCTGAACGAAATATTAATAAGGCATTAGGAATAAATCCTTTTTCTCCACCTGCATGTAAAATCAGTCTCCTTCCTTTTGAGATTGTCTTCTTCAAATCTTTTCCTGATATATCTTACCATTCTTTAGATTGCACATGTGAGCTGTGGATGTATGTTTCATCAGTATATACATGGTGTTTCATAATATATGCGCAGGACTTCAGGACGTGATAGCTCGTCCAAAAATATGAAAAAACGTTTCTATTAACTTACCCTCTAAAATGCACCATTTTCGAGATACAGGGTGTTGAAATTGAAAAAAAAATTTCTACGCCACTGGAAAAAGTACGGTTTTGAACCGCCAATGTTTTCTACACAAAAAAGGTACTCTTAGTCATACGCTCTAAAGTCGACCGTTTTCGAGAAAAATCTAATTTTGTTTCATCAAGTATGTATGACCATGTATTTCAACATTAAAAGATTAGTAGCACGCTCGTTCTCCCACATCCTAACTACCTTAGAAGCGAGCCCGTTTGACCGATGTTTAGAAATTCACCTATGTCCTCTCTAGATGTATGCCACATAATATATTTTAATAATAACAGCGATCGATTTTGGATATACAGCCATTTCCAAAGGCATAATAAACTTATTTTTATTAAAAAAGGACCCTTTTC